CCCCAAAACCCCAAAACCCCAAAACCCCAAAACCCCAAAACCCCGGGTGACAAAAGATTAATTGATATTATCCAGGTTTTAAATAAAATGAGTTTCTTTCCAGCATGAGGAGTTGAGCGCTGAGTGAGTCAGCCTTATCTCTATCTCTGTGATTTAGACATTTATGTATGTGCTCAGCATCAAAGAGAGGTGAGGCTTCAGATTAATTCACTTTAGAGATTTCAAGAGGAAGATGTGGTAGTTCTTGGAGAGACTGAGGTACCAAGAGATGCTTGTGAGAGAATAAAATAGGTTCCTCAAAGTAGCTTCAGAACCTATTGATGAAGATGAGAAGCAAGATCTTAATCGTGAACAAAAAATTCTAATGAGAGAATATGAGGCTTATCTACAAGACGAGATATGTATGCTGGAGAAGGAAAATTCAGATGACTCTTTTTATGAAATTCTCCAACTGGAAGATATTACCCAAAATTTACTTGATAATTTCAGGCAGCAGAATTACTTCATAAAGTTTTTGGCTCAAAGAGGGGTCAACCTGATTCAGAATTATACAGTAGAGCGGAGAGATTACCACCAAAAGTATTCAGACTTTTGTGAACCTGAAGAAGAACTTAAGCAGGATATTTCAGTCCAAGATTGAGGTACGATCAGTTTATGGATCTTCTCCAATTGGATTTTTCTATTGGATAATATTTTGGATAGCATAATAGAAGATTTGCTCCAGGGTTAGAATATGTTACTTACACTTTACTGCCACCTAACTATGAAGGAGTATGAAGAATTTGCTTTGTGAAAGTATTTATATTTTTTCTTAAACCAACCAACCTAATCTCTCCCATAGATTCTGAATCAAAGATTGATTTATACAAAGATTCTTTTCAAAAATTTGGAGAACAGAACGAGCATCTTTTCCAATCATTGCTCTTCGAGGGCACTACAGAAGATAGTTCCAAGCGTGCCACGACCTTAGACCTTGACTCTTTCATTGAACTAGAGCAGGTCTACCAAAAGCAAGGTCAGTTATGGAACTATAACGACCAAATCCAAGAAATTGACCGTACCCTCACAATCCAGTCTGAAGACAAGGAGTTAAATCAGCAGATACAGCACTTGAAAGACAAGATGAAAGCCAAAGTGGAGTTATTTACAGAGATTCTAGGACAATTGAAGAAATATGGAGATGTTCAGACATATGCCCAAGAATGAAAAGACTTACTGGATAATAACCTGGAGAACATGCAGCAACTGAGACAAGAGAATCTGGAAATTAAGCAAGAAATTCAGGAGCTCAAGGCTTTAAGTCAAGGAGTTAATGATGAATTTCAGGCAGATATTAGAAAAAGATATGAGAGGCTTGGGAGTTATGGTAAGCTTGGAACCTGATAGCTCTAGAAATTAATGAATTCGAAGATATGACCTTTAAGAGTAACTCAACTCTTACACTCACGTCTTTTGATTTCTTGCCAATCTTGTCAAAACTTTGAAATCGTTGTCCTAATTTGGATACAATCAATATTGACTGTTTGAAAATGAACGATCCTGAAATGATCAACTTCTTATGTCATTGGTTTCCGGAAGAAGTACGAGTGTTACACCTGGGAGACGACAGTCCAATGACCTCGATAGATTGGCTTTTTTGATGTTCTAAGCTCCTCGAAGACCCTGAAACTCCCTTGAAACCTTGCTCAGTCTTGAATCCCTCATCCCTCCTTTTCAAAATATCTCCTCTGGTGACTTCCGAGATATGGTTGTACAATTTCAGGATCTCAAAGAAACAACTAGAATCCCTCATTCCCTTACTTCAAGGCCATCCTAAAGCGATCGGGTTGATTTCATGTTCCCTAGATATCCCCGCTGCAGCATCAATGGTAGGCTTAAACCCTCAAGAATTCACTCGCACCAATTCCGACCTGGTGTTCTCCAGCCTTGAAGAATGGGAATGTGAGATGCTCAGTCTCAACTTCTGCGGAGACCAAGAGCATGGCAACTGGGCTGAAAGCAGTGCTCCCTTCGAGAACCTGATCAGAGCTCTGTGCTACAGCGAAGCTGTCCACCGGACCTGGAGGAGCATCCAGCTGATCAAGTGCGGAATTGAGGAAGAGAAAGCCAGAGAGATTCTAGATTATTACGGATTTGAGCAGACTAAGATTTTGTAGAAAGCAAAAACCCCTTTGCTGCACTGTGATGCTGAGAGAGTAAATACTTTGTAATTTTATCAGTTTTGAACGTTCGACTCGGGGTTTTGGGGTTTTGGGGTTTTGGGGTTTTGGGG